CATTTCATATGCGAAATCTAAACTGTTACATCACTTCACGTTTCCATTTGGAGTGAAATAAATTTTAAATCTGAAACTTGGTATTCTAGTTAACACAATTGTGTTATTTCTTTTCCGAAGTAAAAATGATACTGTAACAATTTGGACAGATCATGGAATACTTGTGTTACTCCGAAGTAATTTAAGTGAAATTTAGCAAATGAGTTTCCAAATGAGTTTTGGTGTGTGAATGGATTTCAACTAACCAGAGTAGTCAGTCAGTGAAGTTTGTTACGAAAATTGTCAAGTGGGCGCACTCTGTGTTGTGAAGTAGATCACCTATACTGTGCTCTCAATATTTCTGGTGGTCGGAGATAATCGTAGTAAAATTTCGTCTCTCATTGCACAGTTTGGAGACATCTGATCTCGTTTTAGTTCACAAATGTTTAGTGTAAATTTGTAGTCTATATTAGGAACAATAACAACAATAGTAGCTTTATTGCAGAAAGCACTTTTGGTACAAATATGGAATTTTCAGCATGTAGTAGTACAGTATTGCATCTAACTTTCTCATTACAGGAGTGGTAATTAACACAGGCCATTGACACTGATAAGACTGGTCAATAGGAAATTGAAGCTACAATTAAATTAGGTGGAAATATTAACAAAATGTGACAATGAAAACAATAAGCTGGTGATACCCTTCCTGCCTTACACTTTTCTCATCACATAAAATGTGTCCCGGCTAATTAAGGCATTGTTGAGTTCTTAGCTTTCAAATGAGCAATTAACACTTCTCGCTTGATATATATCACAAAAGCACCGCCTAGTCATAGCATGGAACTCAGACTCACTCTTCGTCCGACGTGTAAACGCTGTAATCTTGTCTCCATTTCCCTCTTTCTGAGTGGAACATACACCCTCAAGCATTGATGTTTCAGTAAGGGTGATACTGGTTTTACAGAGTCACATTATTAGCCTCACCCTCAATCCTAGCTATTTTTTCCTCGTTTACTGCTGGCTGGTAGACTAGGCCAGGTCTAAAGGTGCACCGAACTCTTCCATTTTGAGCCATCGATGCCGTTGATTCGTCGTCTAAATTTTAATCCCAATTAACAAAGATTGCATCACAAGTGTTTTTTATTGCAGAGTTTTGAGTTACAGGAAAAGTTGAATGACCAATTTGTAAGTGAAATTCATTGATATATACACGACAAAGTTGAACGTCATTTAAATTTTTCTGTAAGTGAAACCTTTTAATTGAATGTTTAAATCTTGTGACCGTCTAGTTCTTCTTCAAATACGTCAGTGACAAGATTTATGACGTTGCCTGCCTGATGTACGAATGAACTACGAAGACATCCGAGATATAAATGTCACGGAAGAAAGTGTTATTGGTAGACTAAGTTACATTAAGAACACAATATTCAGCGAAGAGACTCTTTTCAACAACGAATTTATTATCAGGCTGTACAATCGTATATGCATATGGGTTTATTTTAAGAAATTATATCTAGTGAGGGAATTAGAGCAGAGGTGTGAATACATGAAATAATATTAATAATAGTAGTATGAAATGCAATTAAAATATTTGTGATTATAATCATAGTTAAATGTCAAGTAGCAAAACAATTAATGACATATGTAGAACAATGCATAAGGTGTATATATGTTGGAAAGGGGTGCATAATTATAGGTAGGTGAATACAAAATGTTATATAATACGGTGTGGGATTCGATGAGATAGAATTCAACATTGTAAAAACGAAGGGAATAATAATTTTGGGTTTAGAATGACAAGTGGGTCACGTGGAAACAATTCAGAATGAGAAGAGTAATAATAATAATAATCGTAGTAATAAGGGAAAAGTACATAGAATAACTACATAAAATAAGTAACAATAAATGAATGTCTATCCCTCTAAGGCCAAGGCAGAAGTAGGGATTGTACATGCTTCTTTTGTACACAAAGGTCTGGCTTAAAGTCATGAATTGCCAAGGCCTCAGCTGTCTTTAGAAGTCTGTAACGAAGAAAACGCGAGAAGTTAGGATGGATTCTATATATGATCTTAAAATCATGGTCAAGGTTGACAGAGTGACAAAAGTCGATCAGGTGTTCCAGAATAGAGCTTCGCACACACTTCCTTTCTCCCGTGTGGAAAGTGTCTCTTCGCTGAATATTGTGTTCTTAATGCCACGATGATAATTATTAAATTAAGTTACATTAGTTTGTTGTTTAGTCCAGATGATTTAATATGGAGGCATGGGTCTTCGTGCTTTTATTTCTCAAGAATTAGTTTACTTTGTCACTGTATTTACTGTATATTACACATGACATTTTTTTAATACTCTGGAATATTCCCGCATCATTAATTAAAAGTCAGTCTGAACGAAGAAGATTCCTGCGAATAATTTCTCTTCAGGTACTTACAATTATAAAAAAATATAATATTTATTGCCGTTACAATAATGTCCAGTTATGCGGTGGATAGATTTTTGCATAGAATAACAGATTAGTTATGCATGAGGTGACAAAATAAATAGTATTTGTGGGACATATGTGCGAGGCTGAATTCCATTAACGAAATATTCCCATATTGACTCAAAAGAAAGAGACGTAAACAGCGAAGAAAATTTTCGCCTCGATGATTCATTTTCATAAGCTGCTGTGCAATCTTAATTACATTTTGCTAAGAATTCATATGATAACCAGTCAGATACTGTTAGAATTTCTCCTCGAGAACGTATTACGTAATGTGAAGTGTAATCTAGAAGGGGTGACTAACAGGAAATCAGAGAAGGAGACAGAAGTTGGGATGTCATGATAATTGTGAGAAGATGACCAAACACGGTTACGTCTTCTTTGTATTGGTGAAGCTCTGGCCATTCACATAGAAAAACCGGAGCTGTGCATACGGAAGAGAATTGCTCAACTAATTCTGCTATCAGGGTAACAACTTTGTTGATTTTTGATGACTCAATTTTGTTTCTTTGCTTGTTTCTCAAACTGCTTAAAATTCTTGTACTTATTTAAAACTCTTACGTAATTTCGTATTCTCTACTTTGTTCCTATGTGTCTGCTGAGGACAACTCAATCATCAAACTATTCATCTTATTACGTGACTCCTTTTTGCCAACTGCTCAAGACAACTCATCACCTTTGTTACTACACTAGTTTCATTACCATCCAATTTTATTGATCGTTTTTGTATTGTATTGTTTTGCTTAACGTCCCGAAAAAACTACTCTACATGAACCTTCAATTCAATGGAGATATATCTGTGGAAACACTGAAAAATAGACTGTCGCGCTCACTTAAGAAGACCTTCGCAGCTGAACTACGAATAACCTTCTCCACAAAACTTATGATTCATGTGAACGTGAAGAATAAGCTACCACTGCTGGCCTCATCAATGTGTATTTATCGGTTCACCTGCTCATAAGAAGCCAGGTATATCGGCCGTCCCCAGCGTTCCTTTTCCAAACGTATCACCGAACACTTACCAACATGGTTTCACAAAGGAGAAAAACGATGCCCCACAGCTCCATCTGAGAACATCTCATAGAATCCGGACACCAAGCTACACTCCAAACAAACTTCAAAGTCGTCTACAAAGTAAGAAGTAGTCTTCCTAACAGTATACGAATCAGACTTCTTCAAACTGCAGAAGCAATGGCTAAGTCCTGAACTCTGCATACAATCACTACACTTGCAATGAACGTGATCTATCTTATTAGCCGACAAGTAAATTCTACCAAATCTTTTTTGTCTGTCTCTTCATTAGTATTATTTTGTCTTCTCAACTGTAATATTTTACATTTTCAACTTTCTTGTTCTCTACCTTCACCCGATTTAATTTCTGCACCTCATTACCACTGTTACTGACTTTACCAACGCTCAATTTCTAGTCAATTAAATTACGTTATCCAAATTATTTGCTCAATTTCAGTTCTAATTTTAATGGCATTATTCTCTACCCCACTTCTACTTAGTCTCTACCTGTAAATACTTATGTTACTATCCTGACCTCAGTTAAAACATTTTAGTCAATTATATTACGTCATCTAACTTACTAACTAAGTCTTACTTTAGTTGCTGTCTGATTAACCTTGTTTCTATGTTAGATGATTCTTGTATTACCTGATCAATTATCTAAACTTGACAAACCTCATGTATGGAGGATTTCATCATGAGCTGACATCAGTTAGAGAACCATGCAATCAAACAAAATCCCTACAAAACCAATACTTGAAAACTTCATGTACACACAAATAATTATATATAAATGCGGTTTACAGCTGTGTGAATAAATTCGCCGAAAAGAGTCTCTTCGCTGAAGGCGTTCTCTTTTTCATATGACTCAATGGGGATTTTCAAGTTACGCAGCTCTACCAAAAACTTACTAATTTCAACCCCTTTAGTTAAAATAACCATAACCAATTGTATTTTTGTTTGACTAACTTAATGTAGACCAACAAAATAACCTAAATATATTTGCGAATTAACAAAGAATTCATATGACAGCTAGTCAGATACTGTTAGAATTTCTCCTCGAGAACGTATTACGTAATGTGAAGTGTAATCTAGAAGGGGTGACTAACTGAAAATCAGAGAAGGGGAGAGAAGTTGGGATGACGTAATCAGTATGAGAAGATGACTAATCAATATAATTGTGCAGAGTGGACAAGAAGCAGTGGAAATACGATAAAGTATTTTTACAAAATCTGTATGAAAACGCAGTGTTATTAATAAACAGTAGTAGAGTGATAAAATAAGGATGATGAGAATAACAATAATAATAGTAAACTTACATAATAAAAGGAAGCAGGATTATAGTGAGGACATTACTCTGGCCACAGAAGGGCAAAGGAGTGTATGTGGTGCTTTTGAATGCAGAGGTCCGGAGGTACTATTCCCCCACCGCCACCAATGGGCGTTCCTCACACCACCGTGGGGATCGCGTCCCCATTCATGCAACTTACAACCTCCTAAGCCTGCACAACCAGATCTTCCATTTGGTATGAAACCAAAAAAGAAATACACCTCAGATGTTCCTATGAAGAAAGCCAACTGGGAAAATATCAAACCTAATATGCTTGATAAAAGTTCAGTATGGGTTCAGCTTCGAGAAGATGAATTGGAGTGTAGTGACCTGTTAAAAAGTTTCAATGCTCAGTTTAGCACAAAACCGGCCAAAGTAATGATAACCGATCCTACTTCAAATGGAGCATCAGTTGTTGAAACTGCACAAGGTATTCAGTCGCGGAAAGCGAAGAAACTAAGATATTTGCATGATAAAGTGGCTCAAAACTTGTCTATTCTTCTTGGTTCACTTAAAGTGCCATATGATGAACTTCGTCGGCGTATCTTGAGCGTAGATGAGAGCTTATTAGCTCCTAATATGGTAGAACAGTTAATCAAAGCCTTAACAGAGCCAACTGTTATTTCAAAAATCTACACTCTCAAAGATGAGTATGACAGTTTGTCAGAACCCGAACAGTTTGTGTGCTAAGTGAGTGATATTAAGAAACTCATACCTAGACTTAATTCAATTCTATTCAAAATGAGATTTGATGAAAATCTAAGTGAGGTGAAACCTGAAATAGTTGATGTTGATGAAGCACTATGTGAGATACACACAAGCACACATTTTAAACGTATATTGGAGTTGGTTCTGACGAGTCTCCATTGAATTGTAAATTTAAGTAGAGACGTCTTTTAAGGAGCAGAAAGTTTGGGCGTTTTAGTGGTTTAGGTTTCATAAATTTTGTGATGAAACGTTCTGGGTAGTCATTTTCAAAGAACAGTCTTTTCAGAATGTTCAGCTCCTCTTCTATAGTATCAGAGTTCCAAAGGCTGCGGATACTGTGGCTCAGTATAGGGATCACCTCTAGTTTTGCATATTATATAGGCAGCCAACCGTGAACGTCAGTGAGTTGTTCGTTCCATGTTGGCTTTCTGTAGACAGAATTTTTCAGTATTCAATCTTGTTCACGACTTCGTGGAGATAATGAAAAGTGTCGTACACGTATCTGTTGTAGAACCCAAGGTTGTCAATCATTTCATTAGAAGTGTGTTTTATAGTTTTGATATGAAATAAATCTGCAAGCAACGGATCATGTAGTGAGCCCGTAGCTATACCATCTATTCGCCTGTATACTTCCTAATTGAAAGATAAGTAAAAATTTAGGGTACAACTGAATGGGAGATTCCTCAAACATTCAGTGGGTATACCACTGTTCATCCTCCTCTGAATCAATATTTTCACATATATGGCATATTGTTTCAGTTAGTGGGACATGGTTTGATTAGAAACACTGATGTTTTCAATGGAATTGACAAAATCGAAGGAATCTCGAAGTGAGTGGTAGGAAATTCGCCTTCTGACTGGTTCTAGTAGGTCTACAAGCCATTTGGCAGTGTGATTATGAGATGAACTACTTTGAAAAGTATCTTTCATAATGTCTGGCTATCATTATACTGACAACAAATACTCTATCTTTTCTTGCAATCTTTAGCACCTGGGCAGACAGTGTTGAAAAGAATATTCAAACCGAACTTTATTCACATTTATCCGCTTTCCAATTCGGCTGGATATAAAAATAGTGATAAAGTAAATACTACTACTACTAATAATAATAACAGTAGTATGTGCATAGAAATTTCAGTGGATCAGAAATTCATTTACAAATGTCTCCTCATATGGCTGTGTTTGTTAAAAAAAATTAGACAACTGTAACAATGTTGAATATCGAAGTGAAACCCCCTAAATGTATCAAATGTGTTTATCTGAAGTGGAGTACACAGCGTGCACCAATGTATCAATGATGACAATCCTTCTCAACACACAGTTAAGATAGATTCGTTAAATGAAACATAAATCACGTCTGCTTTTTCACACATGCACCTCTCAATTATTTTCTTTTCTTTCTTATTGCACATGTCATCCATAGATAAACAAGATGTGAATATCTGACTTCACATGAACACTGTGTACAATCATTATTGCAACAATTCAAATATGTATAAATATAAGGAGCCTGTGCAGGAAGAATAGAAGAAACATTGTGTTTATGCGTAATATGAGCCTGATAATTTATTTCGCCGTGTTCACTTTGTTGGGTAAGCAGAGTAGAAGTGTGTTCAAAACGTCTAAATTAATTCTCTCTCTCTGATTTCCATTTCAGTCGGTGTTGTTAGGACAACTGTAAGTTTTGAAGTGATTTGTTTCTATTTCCTGATTATTCATCTTTTGAGAATTCACCCATACGCGAATGAATGAATGTTAGGGGTTAGAAGGCTTCTCTAGGAGAATTAAAACTAGCGGTAATATAATCTCATGAAATGAGTACTTCTTCAAGACTTCATCTTTTGGTAATCAATAATCCATATAACAAAGGGTCTCCTTGATGTCCTCCTAGGTTTGGATTCTTGGGAATTTTACTATCCTTACGATGTAGTCCACTCAGCAAATACCAGTTGATTTTTAGCTTCTTTTTATTCAGGAGGTAATTTTTACGTTGTTGTCAAGTTGGCCAATTGGTGAAGATGCCACAATCAAGTGTAGATTGTTGGATTTGATGAGCGTATAAAATTATACAAAAGCCGCATGTGTTTACATAATGCGATTGCTTATGACATTCGTGTTGATTTTGTCATTTCATGGGGGGACATGTTGTTGCAACCAGGTCATTTTCAGTTTTAGTCCATCATTCCTATTCAGCTCAGACAATCTGGATTCTATCTGATATGAAGTGCTTCTGATTATATTAGATAATTTTGTAATTTCTCAAATCCTTCTGCATCGTTTCAATATTGTCAAGATCAATTACGTGACATGATTCTATAGCGTAGCGTGTACACGACCTATGGCTGATCACTTTTTAAGCTTTTCTAGTTCACTAACTGGATTTCTCGGTGGTCGAACAGACACTCAATCTACCGTCTTCACTTCTTCTGATTACCTTTATTTCTCTCAGGTGAGTGTTGTCCGATGTATATCGCATCACACTGCAAGTATTTTATTTTGTAGATACAATGAGGTTGCGAATGCTTAAGGATTTGGTCTTTCACATAAACACGGTTACTTTGTAGTTTGATGTGTGTGTGTTTAATGTTTTGCAGAAAACTGTGATGTTGTGCTTAGTGAGTACTCCTTTTCTGATGTCGCCTGACGTATCTGATTGTCTATATGGAATAACAACTACAGTTGAGGCGCATATCTTCGGAATACACTTTTCGACCGTATTTAATCTCAGTGTTGATTTTGATAACAAAGTTCTTTGTGTAGTTATTTTCCTCTCAAGAGAATTGCAGTAATGCTTGATATTTCTTCGTCTTCTCCACTTTCCTTCTCATCCGTTAACATCAAAGTGTGTGGTCGTATGAGAAGACTTGAAACAACTGATTACTTCGCGCTGTTGTTGTGTGATGACTTGAAGTGTACATATTTGTTGGAGTGTGTTTTCTCCCTGAATATAGATATGTATATATTGAAATATTCGTTTTCCCTCTCTCCTCTCAACTGGGAAGTTTACAAATGGTGGTTCACTGAAGTGTGATTCTGCCTGCTTCCGAAGTCAACTGTATGTTGGCAGATAGACTGTTCAGTTTCTCGATGAATAAATTGTGTAGATCTCGTTTAAGCACACACGCACTGCTTTTGTATAGTTTTATACGCTTATCAAATCCAACAATCCACACTTGATTTCGCAACAACGTGAAAATTACCCCATGCTGGTGAACGATGATTAAGTTGTTATATAATGCAAGCTGAGTGGATTTTGTAAATTCTGGTTTAATAATACTACTACTACTTTGATAAAGCTATTAGCATCAGATAGCGAGACGTGATTAAAATGAACGACATCGTTTTGTTTTTCATTCACACTGAGAAATACAAAATCTTTTATAATAATGCTCAGATGTTTTCAGACTGTTCAATGTGGACTTAGTTTGGGCATGTGTATAGTCCATTTTAGATTTGCTTTACTCTCTATTACGTCGGACTCTGTTAAGAAATGCTTCGGACATACTATACTTCATTTGCACAAAGCGGATAGATAATGTTATTTCTTCCTCAAATTCCAGCCTATCAATATTACGGATAGTTATGTGGAAACATCGCCAAGAACATTCCCGGTGCAGAAAGTAAATCGCCTATCCGATGAACTGTCTTTCCAGGTGAGCTGTATGTATTTCTTTACTTGGTGTCGTTGTTGAAGCGAACTCACTTCACTTTGAAGTGTAAGTGTTGAAGATGTTGTCTAGAAAACAATAAATGCCTAAACATTGAACCATCGAGCTTGGAGAACAAAACCACTCCGAAAACACCCATCTGAGTTGCAAATTTCCCCATCATTCCATAAGCTGTATTTATGTAATGCGATAGGTTTCACAATTGCAATTGCTTCGCTTTCTCCTGACACACTTCTTCGGTAAACAAAAACTCATGAGGTATGAAGCTTCAGATACTTACACTGAGTCGTGTAAGGTAATATCAATGTTACAGATACATCCTGTTGATGAATAACGAAACCTAAGTGTAAAAAATTCCTCCAAATCCATCTTTTGGTCACACCTAACACTTCAGATTATCGTTTCATAATGCAGAAACCACAACAGCTTATTAAATTGCTACCTGTTATTTCATGGGTGACCTATGCTTAAATCATTGAAGGGCATGGAAAGCAAAGTCAGTTGAATATTGCATAACATACACCGGTGTCTCTAACTCTTTAATTGATAGCGAAATGTTAACCCTTCTAGAAAATGTCAACGACATTATAGTCTGTTTTGGAGGTGACATGATTAACACCGATTGATTTAGTCACATGAAGGCGAGTGAATTTCATTTGGTCCTTCACTGAAACACAATTTTAAAATGTATGTCTTCAGTGGTGCAATGGTATGGCAGGCACAAATTTTCAAGCTGGTAACTTTAAAATATTAGAGATCTCATTTTCATCTTTTTTCTCGAAAATTATTTCCAGAAATTAATTAACTTACTATTGAGAAGTCATGAACAGTGGGGTAGAGCAGGTGAGGTGTGAGCACAAGTAACTCACAGCATGACAATGGCTAGTGCCAGTCTGACTATAACCTCAACTGTCAGGAGTTGATTCAAACCGGCGATTGAATTGATTCCCAGTGGCTGATGGATGCTTCATCAGCTTGCTCACCTTATAACCGGAGGGTTCTGGGTTCGAACTCTGTCGGTGGATGCTTACTGAAGAAGTGTCATTCCTAAACTGGGGTGACTAAACAGCTAGCTGTCTAGTAGTATTCTCCGATGGTTTACCGTCGGTTGTCAAACCGATGTCATTCGATGATGGAATACCGAAACGAATCAAATCAAATCCCTACAAGCCAACCCTTGAATAACTAATTAATTATTCAACTGACTAACTAAATATACCCAAGGTTAAATTACATGTATCTGTAGTTGGGTATTTCTCAAGGAATCAGTTTGACCTTATGGTGTAAAAGTAGTCTGAATGAATTTGTATTCATCACTGTTTAGTTGTCGTCATTATTATTATTATTGTTTTCTTTAGTTCCTAGAGGAACATAGGGCTTCAGCCGTGCGTCTCCATTGCGTTCGGTTCTCTGCTAGAGTCTTCACCTGGCTCCAAGTCTGCCCACACGTTTTCATCTCCTCTTCACATGACCTCCTCCAAGTCACCCTTGCACTGACGACCAACTCGCCGCTTCCCTTTCGGCCAGGTTTCACTCGAGCAATGGCTTGTCTAGTGATGTCACTTGATGGTTTCCTCAGAGTATGACTAGCCAATCCATCTCCATTTCTTCCTGCCTATTTGTTTCACAATCGGTTCCTGCTGAGTTGGTTCGCTCCCAGAGATCTCTGTTGCTGATCTTTTCTGGCCGGCCATCTGATCTTGAGTATTGAGCGAAGACAACTGTTAATGAAGGTCTGTAGTTTGTTTGAGATGCTCTTTATGACGCGCAGTGCAAGTCTCTGATCCGTATAGTAGCACTGACTTCACATTGGAGTTGAAAATCCGGATCTTATTTTCATTTTCATGCTGAGTGCTGTTGATCTCCACACAGACTTGAGAGTAATGAAAGCTTGTCTTGTCGTCATGATTATGTAATATTCGAGTACTGACAGATACCTCACTCTCCTGTCAACTAAGGCGATATTCACGTAAAATCGTGAGCATGTTTCACAAATATATCACCAACTTTCAATATTCATACTTTTTATAATTCTAAATTCTAATTTTTGTTTGTAGATGAAAAATTTACGGGAAGGTATCAAGTCAGCTTCGAAAATGTCAATAGCAGAATCTGGTAATCTTATAATTCATTTTGTGAAAACAACATTTCAGTTTGTAAAGCTTGCATGGAACTAGAGAAGACGGCTCAGACGATACCGAGTTCTGGTTATTTTAGTGAACACCTTCGTTTACTGGGCAGTATGTTGTGTGGCTTTGCAGGTGTTTCTGAGGAACGTGTAAGTTGATCCAGTGACATGTGTTTACATCTTGTGTTGTAGTGGAGTAACCAGTATTATGACGCGTCGGTGGCGTAGCGGTTAGGACGCTCGCCGACCATGCACATGGTCCGGGGTTCGATCCCCGGCCGACGCACTCCTTTACCTCGCTAAGCCAGAAATAATGCTGATGAAGAGGAAAGATTGGCATGAGGCTAGCAACCCCATCCTGTAAAATAAACACCGCTTCAGAAACTTCAAGCCTCTAGCTTGAAGCCCTATGTTCCACTGGGGAACGTGAAGGAAAAAAAATGACGAAAAGTGATACACATCAGTATCCCTACACTCTGCTAAGTGAATTGAAGAAACCAACAAGGTTATCTGAATGAATTCATTCCACAAATCATCGTGGGCTTGTGCAGTTTACAACACTTCTGATAATACCACCATGTAGTGTAATTTATGAATTGATTCAGAAAAAAGTGATGATAGAGGAAGTTAGATTGTATTTTTATTTGATAGCCGACAGCATTTACTAACGAAGTAACTCTCCTTCACAAACTCCAACAATAACAAGTACAATTGACACCGCGAGATGCGATGGTGTATTCGCATTTAGTCACTATCAAAAAGTAAAATAAAGCGCATATACTCTTAAAATAAGCCAGTTCACTAGATTTTAAACAACACTGAGACATGCGACTTGAAGCGAAATTATAAACGCCTACGATGAAAATGTCAATCGGTTGAATCACACAACAAGCATGTAAATTATACTGGTTGGATGAGATAGACGATGTGAAATCTTTGAAAAGTTTGCGCATTGTGTAACATTTCAATTAGCTGTGATAAGTTTTGCTTTGATTTTGACAACAAATGTGTGACTGTAAAGCAATTCCAGTTAGTGAGATGTAATCGCGGCTAGTAATTTTGTTATTATCCTCTTGGGTTCCGAGTGAAAGGTCGGGCTTCAACAGTACATCGTCATTTCATCCTGTGCTCTGTAGTCGTCATTCACTGGCTCCACAACTGGCGATAGGCTCTAATCTTCTTCTCATACGATCTTCCCATTTGTGTCAATGTCACTAGACAGTCGTCTCCTCACCATGTGTCCAATGCATCTCCATCCTCTCCAACATATTTTTTGGGCAGCAGGCTGTTTGCTTTTTCTCCTCTCTTTCTCTATCATGGATCTGATTTTAAATATCAAGTGATGGCAGCTGTTGATGAAGGTCTAATGCCAGTTGGAAATACTTCCAGAGATGCTTCAAGTCTCTGAACAAATACAGGATCTGATTTGACATATATATATATAACATTAATATGTACAGAAGCAATTACACCATAACCCAGTGGTTGCCACGTCAACTACCTACAGTCGGAAAGTTCAGAACAATATTTATTTACTAGAAGACGTTAAAATAATTGATTTTGTCTTTGAGCAATATTTTTTTGCTTTCCTTTCACCATTGTTTTCCAGTGTAACAGTACAGTCAATCAAACTCCACAAACACCAATCACAGAATCGATGGCGGATAACAATGAAACAGCGCTATGTGAAGTAATTTATCGATACTTATATGTTTCATGTTCTCATACTTATTTTGTCTAGTATAACTGTGTCAAAATATTGCGTAGATATCAGTTTAAAAGACAGAAGGATATTCCTTTACACATGGAAAAATATTAACTTGACATTCCGTAAAATGCGATGCTGAACTCAGACGCAAAATAGTTTTAGACCATAAATACTGGTGGACATGTGACTATTAGGAGTCGTTTTAATTAACAACAACTCTGATTTTCTATAGTTTGGTTTGTAAGGATTAGCTATGTTTTAAGAGTTGATCACGGACTGATATCAGTTAGAGAACCATTGAAAACCAGGGAGTACTGGACAGCTGCTGTTTCATCCTAGTTTGGGAATCATCGGCAGTACGCACCCACTGGGATTCGAACCCAGGACCTTCCGGTTACAAGGCAAGCTCGTATACCATTCAGCCACTGGGACCCGATTCAATGGCTCATGAATTCTAACTTCTACCAATTCGTGATTTTAGCGCGACCCCAACCATTGTCGTTGGTGGGACATCCATCCACACACGTGACATCTAATTGGACCTCACTGGTCACGACTTGTTACAGGCTGGAGCTTCCTGCAGTTCTAGTGAGAAGTCGTGATCAGTGAGGTCCAATTAGATGTCACGTGTGTGGATGGATGTCCCACCAACGACAATGGTTGGGGTCACGCTAAAATCACGAATTGGTAGAAGTTAGAATTCATGAGCCATTGAATCGGGTCCCAGTGGCTGAATGGTATACGAGCTTGCCTTGTAACCGGAAGGTCCTGGGTTCGAATCCCAGTGGGTGCGTACTGCCGATGATTCCCAAACTAGGATGAAACAGCAGCTGTCCAGAACTCCCTGGTTTTCAATGGTTCTCTAACTGATATCAATCCGTGATCAACTCGTAAAACTCTGATTTTGATTTCTTTGTATCGAAATAATCTTCAGTATTCTGCTGAATCTATTGACATTTATTTAACAATTAATGAAAGCTTCAAGTCAGTCACAGTGGCACCTGATTTAGTATTCAGTTTTGCATAGTATTTATTCCAAAAGAAGGCTTATTTATTTGGAACAGGATGATTGTGAAGGAACAGCTGGATAAGATGAATTCTTCCACAGGCACTACTACAGTCATCAATCCATGAAGAGTAGAATGCAAATAGCCATTAAAAGCACGTGGAAATTATATCAGGAACTCTATTGGGGTATATTTTTTAAGACGGTGTTGTCAACTGATTGTGATCATCATTGAACAAAGCTTGGAGTGGCAGTCACCTCTCTATCTCAACTTCATCGACTTTGAAAAGGCCTTTGACAGCGTCGATCGAGGGGTGATTTGGAAACTACTTCGCTACTACAGGGTGCCAGCGACAATCGTACATCTCATCCAACAGCTGTACGACAATGCTGCATGCCAAGTAATCTACAACGGGAAACTTACGGAACACTTCGAAGTGAAGACAGGAGTAAGACAAGGCTGCCTACTATCGCCAATGATTTTCCTGATTGCAGTAGACTGGATAATGCGACAAACAGCGGGCAATGAGGAAACAGGCATAAAATGGACCCACACAAAAAACTTGGAGGATCTGGACTTCGCTGATGATATATGTCTGATTTCCCACAAACTGGAAGATATGCAAGCGAAGAGCAACAAGTTAGCAGAAGAAGAATCAAAGATAGGACTTCACTTCAGGTGAACATAGCGAAAACAGAGGTGATGAAGATTCCTGGACAATAACAACAACAGACAACAATCAGCATAAATGGAAGGAACTTGAAAGAAACAACCTCTTTTACCTACCTGGGAAGCATCGTTTCAACTACAGACGGACGGAACTGACGAGGATATCAAAGCAAGAATCGGAAAAGCAAGGCAAAATTTCACTACTCTCAAGTCTGTGTGGAGGTGGATTGGCTGGCCATACTCTGAGGAAACCATCAAGTGACATCACTAGACAAGCCATTGCTCGAGTGGAACCCGAAAGGGAAGCGGCGAGTTGGTCGTCAGTGCAGGGGTGACTTGGAGGAGGTGATTTGAAGAGGAAATGAAAACGTGTTGGCAGACATGGAGCCAGGTGAAGACTCTAGCAGAGAACCGAACGCAATGGAGACGCACGGCTGAAGCCCTATGTTCCTCTAGGAACTAAAGGAAACAATAATAATGGTTACTTGTGTGATGCATCTAGTCCTCTATTTGGCGTAGACTGAATTCTATCAATCAGGTTGTAATGTGGCCACCATTCTAGGTAGCTCGCCATCATGTAGTATAGATCTCATAGGAGGGTGGGGGTGGGTGAGTTATATATATCCAAACGCATACCAACAAGCGGGGAAGCCTGAATGTAAGTTTAACCAAGGGCTGACAGATATCAAGTGTAGTGATAAATTGAAAAGCTTAAATAATGACCTGTAACAAGATACTAGAGACATGACAAGCTTAGTGCAAATTACAAAGGTTGACAGAATTTACGGATAAACTAGGTGAGAAGGAATCATTAAACGTATAATATGACATGTAATTATGAGATGATTGTCTTCCTCCCTGATGACCACGCCTTCACTGACTATTTGTATTCTAATATTCATGGATTTATAGCTGTAGTAGCGCCTGAGTAAGTAGTCATCGTGAAACAACTGTCCGCTCAAAGCTGTCTTGTTGTGGTTACAACAATGGAGACTTTTAATTCACTGAAATCTGATGTACAATTTGGACGCCTGTATATTATTCAACATATGACAGTCTACATGGTCGTACAGATGGAACTGGAATGCCGACTTGATTAACATATGAGCACAGTAGGAGCCTGAATAAATTGTTCTGTTGATTGTGTGCAGACATCAGAATATCGTAACGTGTACAATAAAAAATCTCTAATGATTTATACGTTAGGAATCTTCTCTTATGACTAGTACTCACTATTTATTTCTAACTGTTGTCTACTTTCAGTCTGTAGGATTATGTTATTCCGAAGGGAATCGTGCAAGTGAACGAGTCGATGAAGATGGAGCTGGTTATTACATTTAAAGTAAAACACAGGTTAGTTAAATGCATTACAAGTATCGTTTGGTTTAAAAGACAATTATTATTGATCTGATAATCTCTCTCTCCCTGTAATCCACATACAACTGCAGTTGCTTTAGTATATATTTCAGTATTATGTACAACCCATCCACCATTAAAATCAACAACAGAAGCTTGATGTATTCACAAGGCTGGGGTAATAAAATCCTCGATATTTGAATGTGCATTTAACGGTTTCAGTCGGTATTAGTCAATATCCCAACGAGCTCGCATTGTAACTATAAGGTACTAGTTTCGAACCACAATAGCAGCGAAGTGATGAAGATCCATATACAAACTAGGGCAACATGAATGTCCACTACGCTTAGTTGGTTTTCCAATGGTTCCCTAACCAACCACCAACAACAAAAACAGCAGCAACATTCAGCGCCAATCACCATCAACGGGAGGGATTTTAAAGAGGTTACTTCATTCACTTACCTAGCTAGGGAGCATTGTCTCAACTACAGGAGGAACGGACGAGGATGTCAAATCGAGAACCGGGAAGGCAAGAAACACATTCATCAACCTGAAACCAATCTGGAAATCTTCGTCACTCAGCCTGCATCAACAACAAAATTTGGATTTTCAGTACAAACGTCATGTCAGTCAGTTCTTCTATACGGATCTGAAAGTTGGCCAGTGTGTCACAAAGAATATTTTCAACAGCCTGTTGCAGACCTTTATCAACAACTGTCTTCGCTCTATACTCAAGATCAGATGACCAGAAAGAATCACCAACAGGAATCTATGGGAACAAACAAAACAAGAACCAATCTCTCAAAAAATATGCAGGAGAATGTAGAGATGGATTGGACACTTGCTGAAGAGTCCACTGGGTGACATAGCGCGTCAGGCCATCGCTCGAGTGGAACCTGAAAGGGAAGCGTCGAGTGGGACGTCAGTGCAAGGGTGACATGGAGGAGATCGTGTTAAGAGGAGCTGAAACAGTATGGATTAACACGGATGCAGGTGGAAAGTACAGCAGAAGACAAAAGGAAGTGGAGACGTGCAGTTGAAGCCGTATGTTCCACTAGGAACCCAAGGGAACAATAATAATAATAATCCCTAACCGATGTCAGCTAATGATGAAATCCTGGAATCAATCAAATCAAACCAGCACTTGAAAATCCACTATTTTTGTTTAACGATTATATATATGACAGCTAATATACGTTAAGACGTTTTGAAACGCGAAAATCACCTACTACAGTAGGATGCTGATAGAGAACTCGTTGCTCAGCATGTAGACCGCTACACTAGTAATTCTAAGGTAGCCTGTTCGAATCCGGTTGATATCTAGATTTTCACTTCGCCTTCAATCCAAAATCTGCACATAGATGTTAGTTTGAATTAGGAAAGAAATGAACATATTTGCAAACAGGATAATACGAGCATGCTTTATTTCTTTGGATTCTCTTCGTCAACTGCGTACATATCCTAAATAAATCAATTATAAGTTAGAAAATGGTGTCTCAACACACTTTTTACAAGGATATCAAGTTATACATAAAAAGTATAGGCAACATAATTTCAAAAATGATGTAAGTAGACAATTATTTAGTGTTAAAAGGGAGTATAACTATTTATATGGTAATTAGACAAAGGGGTGTAGAGTTCAGACTTCTCTTGGAAACAAGGGTGGACTAAAGACAAATTACAAGATAGAACAACATAGTGAATTTATACATATGATGGTGGAGAGTTCAGGAGGGTGGCAGTTGGGTGAATAGTGAAGTAAAATTATAAAATAGATAAAATAATTTAATTTAGTAGATTTGGAACCTTAGCAGTGAGTTCAACTCAGTCAGCAAGTGAAAATCAAAATCAAGATTGAGTGGAATGTTATGTATGCAACAGAACAAAACAATAACCGATGTCAGGGCAGTGAGGGATTAGTCACACTATCTTTCTGTATGCATAGGTCGGGTCGAAGTCTTTTGATGATGGCAATGGCTTCCGCGAAACGAAGTAACCATGCTTTTCTTTGTGTGCTGATTGATTATTTTGAAGGCCTGACTAATTTCCACTGTATGTCCCGTGTCAGTCAATTAGGTGTCTAGCGATTGCGCCTGAGAACGCTTTACTGCCTTTCATAGGGGCAGACTTTTAGGGATATGCACAGAGAATCTAGTGGACTCTCTCCTCTCAGTCCTTCCTGTATACTTGCTTCCGCAAGTGAACATATATATATTATGTAATTGATTTCTTTAAGATGTATTCAGTGAAGACAATCCACGCAATGAGACGAACTCGTATTATCCTGTCTGCAAGTATGTTCGTCCTTTCTTTCTTGAAATTAATAAAGGCAACCGGCTTTAGGTAATGCGCCAGTTTCATATTAGTTTGTTTATTAGATATATGACACAGTGAAACAGTATTATTTACTGGATGACACAGTTTCGAACAAAATTTATTGTTCATAATCATTTCATCAATTTTAATCACACGACTTTGACACTTGTGTTTTATAGTTTTCTTTGTCCTCTCCTATTTGTTGTCGTAGGGGTAGTAGAATTTTCCGGATATCCTACTGAACAGGTGTTGAATCATTCCTATTACATGCATTTGTAGTTGATTCGATAAACAAAGCTTCTGTTATCAATCTCTCCCTCCACCCTGTGACATTAGATTTTAAAACTGTCATCTTATCCCATCCTATTGTATGGTTGTGGGTGACTGCATGTAGTGTTATGGCTGAACTATTCTCTATATTTCTTATTGATTGACCCGAATAAGATAAGAAATCTAGGGAATAGTTCAGCCATAGCACTACATGCAAACTAATATGGAATTACTTACTACCACAGTGCCCAAGTTTTACACATATATTAATGCGCCAGTTTAATCAAGTGTGTGGCAACTTGTGAGATTTCACTCTGGACAGCACGTTTTTTTAAAAAGTAAAAACACAATACGAGTCCAGTTTCTAACTTAACAAGAAATCTTATAATCAACTTTCATTTCTCCTTCCCTTAAGCTAATGACTTCCTGATCCTCTCATCTTTCTATTATATTTAGATAATCAGACAGTCAATGCGACAATCAAGGCGTTGGAAGATGATTTTGCTTCATTTATTTATTTATAATGTTTCATAAAATAAATTAAATGTGTATTTTCTCTTTAACATAATAAACTTGCAGTCAAAGTCATCATCATTGCCTTAATTTATGCCTAGCGCCACTAATTTTAATTCACGCTTACCTAGAATATTTGAGCATTAGCACAGAATGAAATTATTGACTGTTCGTTCAGAATTTATGCATTATGTAAGCCTTGAATGTGGAATCTCTTCTTCAGTATCTATGACTATATATATATATTATATATATATATATATTCCCTTCACGTTCCCAGTGGAACATAGGGCTTCAAGCTAGAGGCTTGAAGTTTCTGTAGCAGAGGTGATTATTTTTACAGGATGGGGTTGCTAGCCTCATGCCCAACCTTTCCTCTTTACCAGCTTTTTTATTACTGGCTTAGCGAGGTAAAGGAGTGCGTCAGCGGGTGATCGAACCCCGGACCATGTGCATGGTCGGCGAGCGTCCTAACCGCTATGCCACCGATGCCTGAATTAGAAGTTAATTGGTGGATGATGACTAGCAGTGGAATCCAGGATGCGTATTTCGTCATATTTGGGACTCGACAGCTGGATGTACCTGCATTTCCCAGTTAGTATGATGATGTTCCCACCGAGGCTCGAACCCAATGCTCATAGTTTCAAACGCTAGAGCGTTATCCACTAGACCACTTGAGCCGCCCAGCTGCTGTTTCATCCTAGTTTGGGAATCATCGGCAGTACGCACCCACTGGGATTCGAACCCAGGATCTATGACTACCTGCTTATCAATTGTTTTGCATCATTAGAAGATATGAGTCAGTAGAATAATGCTTAATTCAAAGACGATTTGTGACTTTCGACGAATCAATGTTTTGCTGAAGTATTGCAGATAGGAATTATTGAAAATTTCCAAATTCCTATCTACGCATTTCGAAGAAAACAACAAATTCATCGAAGAAATATACTCCTTTTCAATTATAGTTCTTCATCATCGGGTGGCTCTACACTTATATATAGTCGCTTTTTACATCAAAATCTTCTTGCCAGTCAAGTGGTTATTTTAGTCAATCAGTTTTAGGTATAGGCGGACGGAGGTGGATGGGTCATCAAAAGAATTACTTAATAGATATCTTACAAAGTAACAAGATATCTAAGTTCTAAAAAGATGGGTCGTGCGTCGGTGGCACAGAAGTTAGGACGCTCGCCAATCATGCACGTGGTCAAGGGTTCAGTCCCCGACCGACGCACTCCATTACCTCGCTAAGCCAGAAATAAAAGCTGGTAAAGAGGAAAGGTTGAGCATGAGGCTAGCAACCCCATCCTGTAAAATTAAACACCACTGCTACAGAAACTTCAAGCCTCAAGTTTGAAGCTCTATGTTCCACTAGGAACGTGAAAGAATAAAAAAAGGAAGGGCGGATTTTATTTACGAAATTCAAGATAAATTGATCCTTAGACACAAGGAACAAGTTATTACACAATCAAGAAATTTGTAAAATAGCCATGATGACTAAGAAGAATAGGATGACTCAGAATAATTACGTAAAATACAAACAAACAAGTTAATAGAATTAGCTGGAATTGTAAAAATTAGCAAAATCAAAAGCTAATCACAAGGGGAGGGGAAAAATCGCTTTTAAAAATTTAAAACATATTATGTAGTTAGTTGGCCATGGCAAAGAAAGGGGCTGTACAAATTTTGTGATAGTAATATAAAAGTCAATAAAATGGACAAACAAGTTCAATTCGAAAACCTTTGTGTTCAGACTGGAGACTTAATGTCTTCATCAGATGAGGAGGTTAACAGGTTTAAGTCATTTTTGGTCGATTGTTGTTACAAATACATGAATAGTAGAGGTAATACAAAGGTTGTTTATTTTAACCAAAAGGCATCTAGAGGTT